GGGGGGGTGCCACGTCCCTTTTAGTGTGTTTTTGTTAATTTTTATCTATTTATTAGTTAATCGAGTAATGTCCCGTTACGCGGTAATTAATCAATTACCCGCATAATTAATTACCATAAATTACTTAAAATTTTATTTATTTTTAAAATACTTCATATATACTTTATATATTATACTACCGTGGTCATATGGTACCTTACATGGTACTAGTTCATAATTATTGGGTATTATCGCTCGACCCGTATTTTATTCCAAATTGGCCACTTTCAACGAAACTTATTTTCTTTAATCCATGTACCCCTTTATCCTTCATAACACTTATTTATCGCTTGTTATAAATAGCGTAAGTACGTTAACGTCAAGATGATCTCATCCCCGAGTCTACGTCGGTTAACTGAAAACGAAATTTTAACGTACGAAAATCGCGAGATGTAACATCCTCCCCTCCTTAGAAACATTCGTCCTCGAATGTCTATTCTTAGATACTTTGGGAATATTTTTGCTGGAGTCTCTTCCGTACATCTGACTAAAACCAACTTGTACGCAGCCAGAAAACTTACTATAGATGCCACACATGGCAACTGTTTATAAATAGCAACACTTGGCTCCACACAACTGTCCATTATAAATTCTGGGAGTTAATAAAAATGAGAGGTTACTTGATGACCTACTAGCCTGAGAGTTTATACTCTCGAGTCATATCTTCAGTTTGAAATAGGTGGGGGTATTTAGATTTTATTTCTTCCTCTGATTCCCACGTCATCTCTTCCACCTTCTTACTTCTCCATAAAACCTTCACGGATGCTATCTTCTTATTTCGTAGCTTGCGGATTTGTCGGTCTAGGATGGCAACCAAAATTTTCTCGTATGACAAGTCCCCTGTAATCTGTACATCATCTGTGGGCACCACTTGGGTAGGATCGCCAATGCACTTTCGTAACATAGATACGTGAAAAACCGGATGAACAGACTCCAATTCCGTAACTCATAAGCTACTTGGCCCACTCTCTGAACGATCCTATAAGGCCCAATATACCGTAGGCTAAGCTTTCCTTTCTTGCCAAATCTCATTACACCTTTCATAGGTGACACCTTTAGGAATACCCAGTCATTAACCCCGAACTCTAAATCTCGTCGCCGCACGTCAGAATATGACTTCTGATGACTCTGAGCTGTCAACAGTCGCTCCCGGATAAGCTTTACTTTTTCTATGGCCTGCTGAACCAGGTCTAGCCCATGTAACCCAGATTCTCCAACATCAAACAACCCTATAGGAGATCTGCACCTGCGCCCATACAAAGCCTCGTACGGAGCCATCTGGATACTGGAGCGGTAACTGTTATTATATGCAAACTCGATAAGGGGTAGATGTTCATCCCAACTTCTTTTAAAATCCAGCACACAAGCTCGCAACATATCCTCGAGTGTCTGAATCGTGCGCTTGGCTTGTCAATCCGTTTGTGGATGAAAAGTTGTGTTGAGATTCACTTGAGTCCCTAGACCTTTCTGAAATGACCTCCAAAAATGTGCTGTAAACTGGGCCCCACGGTCAGATATAATAGATACAGGTACTCCGTGTAATCGCACTATCTCCTTAATATATAATTTTGCATAATCTTCTACTGTATATGTAGATCTGACCGGTAGGAAATGAGCTGATTTCGTGAGCCTGTCAACTATCACCCATATGGAATCAAACTTTCGATGGGGACGAGGTAAACCCATGATAAAGTCCATGTTTATCGCCTCCCATTTCCATGTTGGGATTTCTATAGTCTGCATTAGCCCTCCAGGCTTCTGGTGCTCTATTTTCACCTGCTGGCAACTAGGGCATTGAGCGACATACTCAGCAATGTTCTTTTTCATATCGCTCCACCAATACACATCCTTAATGTCATGATACATCTTTGTCGACCCAGGGTGAATGGAATACCATGAATAATGTGCCTCTGACATAATCCTGTCTCGCAGCCCTGCTACATCTCACAAATGACCCCTGTATCTGAGAACCCCCGATCTCCTTTGAGTTCTAACAACCGCTTCTTCTACTTGTGGAACCCACTCTCTCAACTTGCTAACTCTGGATCCTCATA